AATAAGTGGTTACAGTTGGGAGGGTGTCTGTGATTGAATCACTGGGTCCCTGAACCACATATGGAGAACTACTAATTCTCTTGTTCTTCTTTTATCCTTTAAAATACTATTTTCCCTTTCCTTACTAAATGATTCAATTTCGAGTAAAGTATTATACAGGACAAGGCAGGGTAGGCATCCATGGTAGGCTGGGGTGTGGGGAACCATGATCTGTCTGTGCGGAGGGCTGGCTTGACAGCAGAATTGGAGCCTGAGCAGTGAGAGGAAATGTGTCTTGAATGGGGAGTGAGTCCATGAGCCACAGCCTGATGTGAGACTTCAGAGCCTGAGAGGTGACAAGGTCAGCTGTGTCTGAGAGTGGGCAGGTGCAGAGCCCCTGAGCTGAAGCAGGGGGAGAAGGCATCCATGCTTGAGGCCCCTTCTTGTGGGAGCCAGAACCCTGAATGAGTGAGTGAGCAGAGGGTCCTCAAGGCCAGCCTGGTGTGACACCTCAGCACTTGAGGAGGTGAGGTTGGGCCCCAGTGCAGTGTTAGCTGAAAGTCAAGTTGGGGTCAGGAGACTCAGCAGACTGAGGGGAAGTTCCTCACAGAGTGTAAACCAGGCATGGATTCCAGGAACCAGGCAAGGTACAGAGTGTGGGAGTGAAAAACACAAGGCGGGAACTCAGTGACTTTCAAGAGATCGAGGAAATCCTTGCTGGGGTGTGGAAGAACTGGGTGTCAGAGCTCAGGAAGGTTAAGGGGGGTATCCATGTGGTAAGATTGTGCTGGCATAGGTTCCAGAAACTGATCAGGGTGAAGACCTTGTCCCCATAAGGTGGGACAGTCTAGGGTCCCTACTAGGTGCCTTTAGGTTTAAGAATGCTGCTGTCCATGGGAGCGACTTGAGTGTGGTGTTAAAGCTTCAGGTAGGCCATGAGGCAGCTCTTCAGGTTGTGGGAGTAGGAATCACAGCACAAGATGGGAAATGGAGGCTTTATTGTAGAGGTCAGCTTGGACCTAGTGTCAGAATCTCAACTCTGTGAGGAGTTTGACTTCTCTAACGGCCTGGTTCCTCTTTTCCATTCCTTCCTGTTTTCTTCTCATGCCCTTTGAGTTCTTGGTGTTTCTATGATTGTATAATGATCCTGGGTGCGTTCTCCACCTGCGACTCCCCCTTTGAGATCAGAGGACTACACCTCATGGTGTATGCTCAGGGCAGCTGTCTGTTATTTTTTCTCATTTCTAGCTGATATTGTGATAATTTGTTTCTTGTTCAGGACCTGTTTTGAAGAAGGGATGACACACATCTGAGGGCAGGGGAAGATTTCTTCACAACACGTTTTCAGAAAACATTTATATTAACAAGAGCCTTCTTGTTAATGACTTCTCAGACATGGATGCAGACTCTCCTCGAGGGAAGAAAGCATTTTGTCCTGCTCCTACTGAGTGATGATGTAAAAGACAAAGATGATCTTAGCTGTGGGCCAAGCCTCTAGGTCACTGGAGTCTCAACCAGTGTGTTGCCTGTAGACAGATGTGAAAGGTTGTGGGATTGTGCAATGGAGAAGGAAGGTGTTGTCTTCTACCATGTAGAGAAAATCCCACCACCCACATTATTGTATCTTTTCTACATATAAACACAAATAAATATGTGTAACAAATTGTTTAAAAGTTAAACCATGTCATAATGATTTCCCCCTCTATCTGGTGACATGTCATAGTCTGTTGGCATCCAGGTGTTGAGTGTCTTCTTGACTCTCTCCCTCTCGTGATGGGGACAGAACCCAGGAC